TCCTCAGATGTTGAGGTTAGGACTCTATTATTCTGTAATCTGCCCTTTTTTTTACGTCCAGGGTGCATTATCTTGCACTTATCCACAATAAATGTCATTTTTTTCTAGTTTACCTAAATCATATGCCATTTGGAATATGCAAATTTCAGTTGAGGGGGGGGGGCTAACCTGTAGTCACGCCCTCAAAGTTAAGTAGTGAATACCGCCTCTTGCGTGATAGATCTAACGAAAAAAACAGTTGATCAAACCAGATCTAATGAATATCTACCAAAATCAATAAAAAAAAATTCAAATTTCACTTGAGGGGGGGCTAACCCTAGTCACACCCACAAAGTTAAGTAGTGAATACCGCCTCCTGCGTGATAGATCTAACGAAAAAAACAGTTGATCAAACCTGATCTAACGAATATCTACCAAAATCAGTAACATTTTGTCCAAATTTCAGTTGAGGGGGGCCAGCCCCCCCCCTAATTATATATGCAATATCTTAGTAATTAGACTAGATCTAATAAAATTTTTGCCTGATCAAACCTGATCTAACGTAGAGCTATCATAATCAACAACATTTTATACAAATTTTTGTTGAGGGGGGCTGGCTACGGGTTAGCCCCCCCTGAAAATGATTGTTAATATCGCATATTTTAGAGTAGATCTAACAAAAAAATTGTTGATCAAACCTGATCTAACAAAGATTTAAGAAATGGGAGAATCTTTTGGTAAAATTCTCAATATGGGGGGCTAACCCGGGGGTGGTCATGGTATTTAGGAAGAAATATGCAATTACATGGAATAACAGATCATGGCATAAGATATGGAGTGACATTGAATATGGGGTCATAGGATGGAAATGTAATGGCATGGGATATGATATCATAGGATGAAATGCCATGGAATAAGGAATTTTATATAAGATAGAACATGCAAAAACATGGCCTATGTGGTGAAATCTGTAATGACATGAAAAAAGGATCACAGAATGAGATCTGCAATGACATGGAAACTTGATGGACTATGACATGTGCTATTCTATTACACTGAGTAAAAAAATATAAATCTGACATTGGAAAGGAGATGGACTGTCAGGAAAAAAATGAGATGGGAAGAGAAGAAAAATGGAGTGTAAAAAGGGACATAGGAGAGAAAATAGGAGGCAAGAAGAGAGGCATGCATAACTCCAGCGTATAAATATTATTTTTATAGTTATTGATTAGTGATTAACTGATCAAGAAAGAGGGAGACAGAGAATTAGGGTCAAGTCAGTAAAGCTTTGTGAATAGAGATGAGTGATCCCGAAATGTAAAGTTCGGGTTCGTGCCGAACATTACGGTTTTTGGACCCCGGACCCGAACACGGACATATCAGTGTATGTTCGGGTTGGAGTTCGGTGTTCAGCGATTTAATGGTGCGTTTTGAAAGGCTGCAGGGAAGCCAATCAACAAGCGTTTGACTTGTGTGCCCTTAGAAGCCATCACAGCCATGCCTACTAATGGCATGGCTGTGATTGGCCAGTGCAGCATGTGAACCAGTCTCTATATATAAGTTGGAGTCACGTAGCGCCGCACGCACATGAGCTCTTATTAGTGTAGGGACAGAATGCTGCAGCTGTGAGGGACAGATTAGGAAAGAATTCTGGTGTTGAATCTGCAAACTACAGCGATTATTTTTGTGGGTGCTATAATACTACATTCAGGGCCGGTGCAAGGATTTTTGCCGCCCTAGGCAAAAGATAGATTTGCCGCAACCCACCCCCCCAGTGACATCACAATGCCCCACCCATATGATCTGCCATATGAACTAACGCCAGTGCTGCACACAGTGTGTGTTTACATTAAAAAGACAAACTATAGACACCAGAACAACTTTATTAAGCTGCTTCTGGGGACTATAGTGTCCATTTAATGTGAGGTAAATTAGAGATTAGTGTCACTAATAATATACTAGATTGCCTACTTACAATCAGATGAGGATGGTGATGGGCTCTGGCTGCAGTCTGGCTCCACTGGTCTGGTGTAGAACAGGATCTCTGGAGGCTGTTTGTAACTGTGGTCACAAAATTCAATGTTCTGGGAAGCAGCTCCATTTTTTGGGGCCTCTTACATAGCTCAAGGTCTAGGCCCCAGGGCCTGACGGTGAGTATGCCCTTAAGGCCCACCCATAAGTCCACCTACATGTTCCACCCATGAGTTTGCTCACAGGGAGTGGAGTGTGTAGGGGATGTGTTATGTGTTACTGTAGAGGATCTAATGTGTGTGCTTATGGAATGTAGTGTATAGGGATACCAGTTTGTGTAGGTGATGCAGTGTGTTTGTGTGTAGTGGAAGCAGTGGCCCACCCATAAGTCCACCTACATGTTCCACCCATGAGTTCGCTCACAGGGAGTGGAGCGTGCACTCAGTGTGCACTTCCTGTCAGTCCGGCCGGCTCGCGGACTGGAGAGGAGCTCGGCCACGCTACAGGGAAGGGGAGGTGAGGCAGTGCGGCAGCCATCTGAGCGCTCTCTATAGAGCACTCAGGTGGCTGTGGCATTTAAAAGGCCGGCGATGGGCGGCTGCCTAGTTCGCCTTATAGGAAGCGCCGGCCCTGACTACATTTTTGTAACCTGCCCTGAGCCCAGTGCCACAGAGAGTGCAGTGCACTTGCATTAAACATTACTTTAATCCTGGTCTGGTAGTTCAGTGGGCAACATCTAGACATTTTTAAATACTGCAATTTTTTTGGTGCTAAATAGTACATTTGGTGTGTGCACTTCATATCTGAGAGTCAAATAGAACCGTCAAATACTGTAGTTACAGCGCAATTTTAAAAATTCTAATTTTTTAGGTGCTAAATAGTACATTTGGTCGGTGCACTTCATATCTGAGAGTCAAATAGAACCGTCAAATACCGCTGTGACATAGCAGTTTTAAAAATTAAAAAAACTTGGCCGCTAAATAGTACATTTGCGGCCTGCGGTGCACTTCATATCTGAGAGTCAAATAGAACCATCAAATACTATGGTTACAGCGCAGTTTTAAAAATTCTAATTTTTGGGGTGCTAAATAGTACATTTGCGGCCAGCGGTGCACTTCATATCTTAGAGTCAAATAGAATCGTCAAATACTGTGGTTACAGCGCAGTTTTAAAGGACCACTATAGGCACCCAGACCACTTGAGCTTAATGAAGCAGTGGGTGGGGGCCCTAAATGAGAATGAAGGGGGATCTACTGTCCTCCCCCTGGCCACACAGGGATAATGACACAGCGTGGGAAAATTCCAAAGAACTTTTCCACGCTGTGTAAAATGATTGGATGGATTTAAAGCCATCCAATCAGAGTGTTATGAGTCATTTTGCACAGCATGGGAAAGTTCTTTGGAATTTTCCCACGCTGTGTAAAATAACACAGAGCACTCTGATTGGCTTAAACCAACCAATCAGAGTGCTCTGAGCCTAATTGCAGGACGGGGCAAGGCTTTCTAAGAGTTCAGTCTGCGCGGAGCCCTCCATGGGTGAAAATGGATTTTTTTTTGCACTCTGTTTTATTTATTTTTTAAGTGTGTCGGTTATTATGGATTTTTATTTGGCCTTTTTTGGGGCTGAAAAAATAAGATTTTAGATGAAAGAAGACATCAAATGGTAAGTTTTTTTTTTTTTTTACAGGTATTTAGATAAGGGTCTCCCCTCATTATTTTTAGGATGAGGGGGGTAGGTAGGGGTTATTTTTTGGGGGAGGGGGATGATGGGGGGGTTACATTTTTATTTAGGGCCAGGGGGGAGGACAATAGGTCCCCCCCTTATTCTAATTTAGGCCCCCACCCACCGCTCAGGGGTGGGAGCCCGGGGGGAGGACATTAGGTCCCCCCCATTTTTATTTAGGGCCCCCACCCACCACTCACGGGTGGGGACCAGGGGGAAGGACATTAGGTCAAATACTGCTGTGACATAGCAGTTTTAGAATTTGGTAATCACACAGTAACTCGTGTAGGTGTGATTTATAGGCCCCCAGGACAAATTGAAGAGTTAGATAATCTACTAGTTGAGGAAATAGCTAAAATGACAATGAAGGGGGAAGTTATCATCATGGGTGACTTTAATCTTCCTGCTGGGATTGTCTCTAAAACAAGTTGTTGAGGAGCCAACTCGTAAAGAGGCCATACTAGATTTAGTGTTAACAAATGGAGATTTGGTATCAGATGTTACTGTAGGTGAAAGTTTAGGATCCAGTGATCATCAGTCAGTGTGGTTTAATATAAGAACAGTGACTGAGTCACACCACACAAAAACAAAAGTTTTAGACTTTAGAAAAACAGACTTTTCTAAAATTAGAATATGGGTAGAGGAGTCATTATCAGACTGGAGCAATTTAAATGGAGTCCAAGAAAAATGGGATTATTTAAAAGTTGCACTATTGAAGGCAACAGAAAATTGCATTAGGCTTGTCAGTAAAAGCAAAAAATTCAAGAAACCACTGTGGTACTCCGCAGATGTGGCCAAAATAGTTAAAAACAAAAAGTTAGCATTTAGGAATTATAAAAAAAACCAGAGTGAGGTAGACAAAATGATCTATAAGATTAGGCAGAAAGAGGCTAAGCAAGTTATAAGAGCTTCCAAATCACACACAGAAGAGAAAATAGCATAGTCAGTAAAAAAGGGGGATAAAACATTTTTTAGATACATAAATGAGAAAAGAAAAGTAAATCAAGGATTAGTTAGATTAAAAACAAAAGAAGGAAGGTATGTAGAAGAGGATAAAGGTCTAGCTGACTGCCTCAATGAATATTTTTGTTCTGTATTTAGAGAAGAAAATGAAGGAAAGGGACCTCAGTTGAGAAAAAGGATAAATGAGTCATTTATTACACGTGAGTTTACAGAGGAAGAGGTTCTATTTCAACTGTCAAAAGTAAAGACAAATAAGTCAATGGGACCTGATGGAATACACCCAAAGCTATTAAAAGAGCTTAGTGGTGTACTAGCAAAACCATTAACAGATTTATTTAACCAATCATTGTTAACAGGAGTAGTCCCAGAAGATTGGAAGTTAGCGAATGTTGTGCCCATTTACAAGAAAGGTAATAGGGAGGAGTCGGGCAACTATAGGCCAGTAAGCCTTACTTCAGTAGTGGGGAAAGTGATGGAAACCATGTTAAAGGATAGGATTGTTGAACATCTAAAAACACATGGATTTCAAGATCAGAGACAACATGGGTTTACTTCAGGGAGATCATGCCAAACTAATCTTATTGATTTTTTTGATTGGGTAACTAAAATTATAGATCAGGGTGGTGCAGTAGACATTGCTTACCTAGATTTCAGTAAGGCTTTTGACACTATTGCACATAGAAGGCTTATCAATAAACTGCAATCTTTAAGTTTGGATTCAAATATTGTTGAATGGGTAAGGCAGTGGCTGAGTAACAGGCAACAGAGGGTTGTAGTTAATGGAATATATTCGAAGCTTGGACTTGTCACCAGTGGGGTACCTCAGGGATCTGTACATGGACCCATTCTCTTTAATATTTTTATTAGTGATATTGCAGAAGGTCTTGATGGTAAGGTATGTCTTTTTGCTGATGATACTAAGATATGTAACAGGGTTGATGTTCCAGGAGGGATAAGCCAAATGACAAATGATTTAGGTAAACTAGAAAAATGGTCAGAATTGTGGCAACTGACATTTAATGTGGATAAGTGCAAGATAATGCATCTTGGACGTAAAAACCCAAGGGCAGAGTACAGAATATTTGATAGAGTCCTAACCTCAACATATGAGGAAAGGGATTTAGGGGTGATTATTTCTGATGACTTAAAGGTAGGCAGACAATGTAATAGAGCAGCAGGAAATGCTAGCAGAATGTTTGGTTGTATAGGGAGAGGTATTAGCAGTAGAAAGAGGGAAGTGTTCATGCCATTGTACAGAACACTGGTGAGACCTCACTTGGAGTATTGTACACAGTACTGGAGACCGTATCTTCAGAAGGATATTGATACCTTAGAGAGGGTTCAGAGAAGGGCTACTAAACTGGTTCATGGATTGCAGGATAAAACTTACCAGGAAAGGTTAAAGGATCTTAACATGTATAGCTTGGAGGAAAGACGAGACAGGGGGGATATGATAGAAACATTTAAATATATAAAGGGAATCAACACAGTAAAGGAGGAGACTATATTTAAAAGAAGAAAAACTACCACAACAAGAGGACATAGTCTTAAATTAGAGGGACAAAGGTTTAAAAATAATATCAGGAAGTATTACTTTACTGAGAGGGTAGTGGATGCATGGAATAGCCTTCCAGCTGAAGTGGTAGAGGTTAACACAGTAAAGGAGTTTAAGCATGCGTGGGATAGGCATAAGGCTATCCTAACTATAAGATAAGGCTAGGGACTAATGAAAGTATTTAGAAAATTGGGCAGACTAGATGGGCCGAATGGTTCTTATCTGCCGTCACATTCTAAGTTTCTATGTTTCTATGTTTTAAAAATTAAAATTTTTTGACATAACCATCTGTTAGTTTGGTGGGTGAACGCAAAGAATGAGGAGAGCGTCAAATAAGGGATGTGGCCCTGGTCGTGGTGCTGCTGGTGTTGGTGAGCTCCTGTTGCAAGGAGAGGACGTGGTCGATCTGTGCCAGCTACACGCACAAGTGAAACACCTTCCTCAGGTGCGAGTATGCGACAGAACCTTCATCGTTATATGGTAGGCCCGAATGCAATTCTCTATGATTGATGAGGCCAGAACAAGTACAGGCGATAGTAGATTGGATGGCTGACAATGCCTCCAGTTCCTTCACATTGTCTCCCACCCAGTTCCCTGCTGAAAGCTCAGAGTTGGCACCTGCAGCCCATGGCCATCTGTCTTTCTCCTCACCCCCTTGCAAATCTGCCAAGCAGTCTGAGCCACAAGTCATGCAGCAGTATCTTATGCTTTTTGATGACTCTGCTGGCGGGGTTTCCGTGGGTCATCCACCTAGCCCTGCCCCAGAAGTGGAAGAGATTGAGTGCACTGATGCACAACCACTTATGTGTCAGGATGTGGACATGCAAGGACCACCGCAGGACGTCTCTGATGATGACGAAACACAGGTGCCAACTACTGTGGCTTTCGGCAGTGTGCAGATCGGCAAGAAGGGCAGGGTTGAGGTGTGGGTGGAAGATTATGTGGAGGATGATGAGGTCCTAGACCCCACATGGAGTCAAGGTCATGCGAGTGACGTGTGCAGTTTGGAGGAAGAGGCGGTGGTCGCACAGAGGCACCAGCACAGCATAAGAGGGAGCAGGGTGCAAAAGCGGGGCAGCCGTCCCCTAGACGGGACGTCTGCTACTGCCCACCACACCCAGTGACTGAGCAAACCAAAGACAGCTCCAAGGAGTTCCCTGACATGGCAGTTCTTCAGACAATGTGCTAAAGACAAAACACAAGTAGTTTGCACGCTGTGCAATCAGAGCCTGAAGCGAGGCATAAACGTGCTAAACCTGCATGACCAGGCATCTACATGCAAAGCACGGATAGCAGTTTGGTGCATGTCCTTCCGCCACCGAGGATTGAAGGGCATTTCTCTTTGCCTTCTGTTGCCTCCTCCTCTTACTCCGCTTCATCCTCCTCTACCTCCACCTCATCCAGGCAGCGTAACACCTTCACCCCCAACTTCAGCACAGTCAGGGGGAAACGACAGCAGGCTGTTTTAAAACTCATATGTTTGGGGGAAAAACCCCATACCGCACAGGAGCTGTGGACGGACATGGAACAACAGACCCATGACTGGTTGTTGCCACTGAGCCTCAAGCACGGCCTGGTGGTGTGCGATAATGGGCGAAATCTCGTAGCAGCTCTGGGCCTAGCTGGTTTGACGCACATCCCTTGCCTGCCGCATGTGCTGAATTTGGTGGTGCAAAAATTCCTGAAAAACTACCCAGATATATCAGAGCTGCTGCAGAAAGTGCGGGCCGTCTGTGCGTGCTTTCGGCGTTCTCACCCTGCTGACGCTCGCCTGTCTGCGCTGCAGCATAACTTCGGCCTTCCCGCTCATTGCCTCATATGCGACTTGCCCACAAGGTGGAACTCCACCTTGCACATGCTGGAGAGACTGTGCGAGCAGCAGCAGGCGATATTGGAGTTTCAACTGCAGCACGCACGGGTCAGTCGCTCTGCGGAACAGCACCACTTCACCACCAATGAGTGGGCCTCCATGCGAGACCTGTGTGTCATTTTTCACTGTTTCGAGTACTCCACCAACATGGCCAGTGCCGATGACGCCGTTCTCAGCCTTACTATCCCGCTTCTGTGTCTCCTTGAAAAAACGCTTTGGGCGATGATGGAAGAGGATGTGGCACAGGAGAAAGAGGAGGAGTAAGAGGGGTCATTTCCACGGTTATCAGGCCATTCATTTACAAGTGGCTTGGAGGGTGGGTTCCTGCACCAGCATAGGTTAGGTACACAATTGTCCAACCAGGGCACAGTTCTGGAGGATGAGGAGGAGGAGGATGAGGAGGAGGAGGTGGAACTGTGTTCACAGTAAGGTAGCCCCCAATGCAGCTCGTGGGCATAACTGGAGCGTGACTGGAGGGATATGGAGGACACAGACGATACACCTCTGGGCAGCCTGGCACACATGAGCGACTACATGCTGCAGTGCCTGCACAACGACTGCCGAGTTGCCCACATTTTAACGTGTGCTGATTAATGGGTGGCTGGATCCCCGTTATAAGGACAACGTGCCATCCTTAATTCCCTCACTGGAGTGTGATCGGAAGATGCGCGACTACAAACACATGCTGGTAGACGCGCTGCTGAGGGCATTCCCAACTGACACCGGGGGCTCAGTGGAAGCACAAGGCGAAGGCAGAGGAGGAAGAATAGGTCGCCAACGCAGCTGGGGCACCGCCAGCACCTCAGAAGGCAGGGTTAGCATGGCCGAAATGTGGAAAAGCTTTGTCAGTACGCCACAACAACCAGCACCACCAGCTGATATGGAACGTCTTAGCAGGAGGCAGCATTTCAGCAACATAGTGGAACAGTACGTGTGCACACGCCTACACGTACTGACTGATGGGTCTGCCCCATTCAACTTCTGGGTCTCCAAACTGGGCACATGGCCTGAGCTTGCCCTTTATGCCTTGGAGGTGCTGGCCTGCCCTGTAGCCAGTGTATTGTGTGAAGATGTGTTTAGCATGGCAGGGGGCATTATCACAGACAAGCACAGCCACCTGTCCACAGTCAACATGGACAAGCTCACATTTATTAAGATGAACCAGGCATGGATCCCACCAGACTTGTCTGTACCTTGTGCAGAATAGACATTTATACTGGTCTCACACAGCCATTGTTATACTCAAGTGCACTTATTCTTTCTTTTCTTTTTTTATATGTCCCAATATTTTGGGGGCTACCCCAATTTAAAAAAATAAATAACCTTTTTTTAAAAATTTTTAAAAATAAAAATAAAAAACAGTGTTGGCTACCTCCTCTTCCTCCACCGCCGCTTCCACCTACACCGCCACGGTCACCGCCTCCTCAAACTATGGGTCACTTAGTATAAACTATGTACACAATAGCAGGGGCTTGTGAGAGCCTTTTCTCCATGCATCAGGAGTTGAGCTCAGTTTGAACAATGAAAGACAATACCCTGCACTCCAGCCCTCTCTCAAATGGATAATTCTGGTGATCCTCCTGACAGCCATGCTTTAGATTTTGATTTATGTTCTTCCAAAGCTAAAATCAAAGATTCCATCTATTTTTAATTTTTATGTATTTCATGTTATTTTAAGTGATTTCCCTACCCACATTTGTTTACAGGGCACTTGTCCTACTCTTATCCCCATTTTACTTTGCAGCCCTCTAGTCCTTTCCAGGACTTTTTTAGAGGCATTTTAGTGCCCAAAAGTTCAGGTCCCCATTGACTTCAATGGGGTTCGGGGTGAAGTTCAAGGCCGAACTCAATCTTTTTGATGAAGTTCAGCCAAACTCCGCGAACCCAAACATCCAGGTGTCCACTCAACTCTATTTGTGAACTAAACGTGCTTCTTTTCCTAATCCAGCATTTGATAAGTAGCCACCAATTTAAGTGAATTGAAAACATACATCAACAAAGCTGGACATTAATTACATGATTAAATACTGATCTTATCCCACACACACACAAAATTCTACAAAGGTAACATAATAGTTAATCAGTAAAACTTCACATATAGCCATACAGCAATGTGCATTAAACAACAGGCTATATGATCCATCCCCTCTGGCAGGGATACATTGCTGGCAGAGGGGACAATAATTCCTCAGCATTCCTTTTTGTGGGAAAGATCACAGCCCATGCTTCTTATTAGCTGCACATCTGCTCTTGCTAAACTGTCATTATAAGGGCATTTCTCTGTACTTTGTATCTGCTATTGATTTTGTTAGGCAATAAGCGGAATCACGAAGGCTGAGGTCAGCCTATACAAAGAAGATAGTTAAAC